GTTGGCATATTGACATAGTCGTTGTTACATATTTTAATATGTCAGTTTTACCCCTTCCCTTAACTTCTTCTTCAGGGATTTGCTAGACCTAGTTAATAAATTCTGTATGAGTCAGCAAAATGATAATCAGTGAAGCTTTCTAGTGAAAAGTTAGAAATACGAAAAACACACTTAAAGGGAATTGTTTTCATTTTACTTGGTTATGGAAAGCTGTGAAAGTTTTACCCCCTAATGCATTTGCTAATTTGGACCATAGCAAAGCCAAAGCTGTTGTAGAATTAGCATACATGAACATGCTCAGGACACATTTTGCTCCATTGTCTTTTATCGTAAGTCCAAATAAATGAATTATGGAGACATACAAGCCACCTTTTCTCTTCAAAATTCAAAGTTTGCCATTGGGAAAATCTATTTAGTGTTGTTTTTAGTTTGGGTTATAAAAGAATGTTCTATTTCTCACATTCTGGAGTTCTCTGGAAGGCAAATTCTGCAGTTTATATTTCTCTCCAAGGTACTACCTATACAGTAAGGGTTAAGAATTATGGGAATAAATGTTCTTTTGCATTTGAACTAAAAAATGCTAAAATAGGGAGCAACCTCTGATAAGTAAAAATCGTTGTTGCTTTGTTGTTTTTCCCTTTGTGCCTCTCCTAATGCTTTATTGTGGTCTTAAGTCTCTTTTAACATTTGCATAAAGTTCAGGATAGATCCCTCCTTAATGACGTGCCGATCATTAGATACCTGCGTGTCAATAACGGGCTCTGATGCCGTGTACCATTGACAGTCACACCGTGCCCCTCCATCTGCTTTTGTTTTGACCCTATCTTTGAACTTTATCTTGGTTGCCGGCCAGTAGTTTTCCCTTTAATTACAAGAAGGAAACTGTCAATAAAATCTGTTAAATGGGATGCAATGAGTGGCTTGAATGGGCCGATGGCTATTTGTTCAAATTCTGCAGCATTCAAGGTATTGACAGTTTGTTTTCTGGGGCCATATGTGACGATCAATCTCAGGCTGGGCTCAGCCGCGCTGAAAAATGAAAAACCAGATTGCTTTTGCTTACTTGTGGATGACGACTTTGTGATTTGGCGCGGTCCTAGCGAGATGAGACCTTCTGCCCAAATTGCCCCCATGAGAGCCAGGGACGCGTGACTGTTTTTAGAAATAATTTTTAATTGATTTTGTAATTAACAGTTCATCTACAATATTGATGCATGAATCCTTGGACTGATAGGAGGGAAATTGTTTTCAACAATGAAGTTGTACTTTCCTATTTGTTTTCATAATGGAGTTTAGCATTTCACAGTTTTAATTGCAAATATAGCTCTCTTTCCCACCATAACATTCACCCCTCCTCTCCCAGACCTCTGCGAAACTGTATATGATTCCTTATGACAAATAGCATTGTTTTTAATAAACCCCCAAGGACTCCTTATCATGCTCTTTAAGAGATCGAAGTGGGAGATGGGACAGAAATTTTCTGAAAATGTATTAGTTTGTGTGGACTTTTTATGAGAGCACTCTTGTAATTCAGTGAAAGATTTTACACAGATGGTTTCTTGAACAATTTTTATTTAGTCATCATGAAATGATTTTAATTTAAAACATTTACTTGGTTAATTGTTTCTAAAATAGGGTATCCTTTTTATCTTTTATATTTCAAATTGCTTTCTAACATTATTAACTAATTGTGACTGCTGAGCAATGCTATAACTTTATCACCAAAATTGCTAAAATTTTATCATTTTGGAGGTTAGAAGTATCGTTTATGGCTATGTATTATAATTTAGAGTACCTTAATTAATTAGAAGCAGCATTTCTGTTTCTATTGCTTTGAAGTATAATCATTAATATTTTTGATATATAAATGTTCTAATTCCACATACTCTGCTGTTTAGGGGAGAAAATGACCTACTTTATTGGTGATTAGAAAGTCATTGTTTAAAGAACAAGTTTTTTTTTCCTTGTTTAAAGCCAGAAATAGTTTAAAAGCTCTTTCATTTCCTTTTGTAAGGTTTTTGTCATAGGGCATGTGTGCTCACTAGAAAGAGACAGATACAGGCAGAGGGAAAATGAGATGACCACACCACAATCCCCTCTCCTTCTGGGATTTTGGACATGCATGCAAATGTACCCTGTGTGATTTTCAAACCACCAGGTCCAGGACTGAAACCAAAGTCGGCCATGTGGAATTCCAGTACCTTAACCACTATACCACCAGCTGACCCCCAAAACCCCTCCTTTTCTTTTCTATCAGTGTGGCTGTTGTGGGACATTGTTTTTCTTTTTTCAGAAAATTTCTCCATGGCATAAAAGTTTTCTGCAGGTGATTCTGACACTCTTTTAGCCTCTGAATACCAAGAAAAATTAACTAAAGAAGAAATGATTAGTTACTATAAGAACTATTCTAATCTCTAATTTATGCCATCTCTCCAATGTTACATAAATATGGTCTTTTTCTCACCCACCAAACCTGTAAATTGCACCATTTTCTTTGATACCGTCATTATACTGCTATTCTACTCCATTTTTTTAACCATTTTTTGAGGGCAGCAGTACATTTGTAGATTCATTGTTGTTTAGATCTGATGTAAGTTTTTAAACTGCTCAGAAATATATCGACATAAAAATGTCTCAGTACTTTTCATAGGTTCCCTAAAAAGCTCCAGTGTTTTCTTTTATTATTTAGGAATTTTAGATGAACACAAGTGACCTTTCATGCCAAAATGTAAAATCTATTTTAGCGTTATTGTAGATATCTTAGCTGCCTTTGTCCGGCTGTAGATGTTCACAACCATTGTCTCATTTATCTAAATTTTAGTTTATTTTAAACATTTGTCTTTATTCGATAATTATAAATGCTATGCTTATGCCTGGGAAACAGGCTATTGGCTTCCTGATAATGGCTGTCATATATTTTGTGGCTATGTTTTTGTCATGTGCAAATTCAGGAATGCTTATAAAATCAGAACATCCTTGGAAGTTTATTCCCTGTTGCCAACACAACAACATATCATGAACTAATACTGCAGTTCTCACACTCGAATAGGTGTAAGCTGTAAGTAATAGTTCCAATTACTTTTGATGATAATAAAGTTACAGGTTCACTTTAGCCATATCCTCTCTTATTTTTGAGCACCAACACTGGGCAGTTCTTGCATCCCTGAAACAACTTTGCCGAATCAACTTTAAAAATCTAGGTCACAATTTTATCATTGCAATTCACAGGCCCTAATTTTCTCATGAATATATCCAGAGGTTAGGCTGATCTCTAGAATTCTTCCTATCTTGGGACTTCTATGATTGTGTAGTTAATTTTATCTCTATATTGGAAAATATAGTGAAATATTACCATAAGCATTTTGAGTAAGGTGAAGCTGTGGGATTCTAGTTTCTTGATTGGTCCTATTGATTCTTAAGTCTAAGAATTTGTTTGAAATTATTACCACTGGTTCCAAGGTAATATACTCATTTTTATACATTAGAAGATTAAAAACACTCTAAGATTAAAAATAATTTTTGTTTGATCATTCTCTTTTGCTCAGGTCTCAAGACCTTCAAGGTTTTTAGATGCTTGTCCTATTCCAAATTATGTCACCTTTGTCCCACCCCAACCTGAAGCTGGGTGAGACTGGTTCATTCAGAATACATGTTTAAACTCAAGTTTTCTTTATTACTTTTACACATTTTTGCTGGAATAAATGCATCTATTAATAGAAAGTTACAAGACGGGCTGGCAGGTGGGGTAGTGGGTAAGGGCGCTGACCAGGGTTTGAGTCCCAGACCTGAAGGCTTGCTTTCTCACTTTCTCTGTCTAGAGAGAGAATTAGGAATTTTAGATGAACACAGTGACCTTTCATGCCAAAATTTAAAATCTATTTTAGTTTTATTATAAATATCTTAGCTGCTTTGGTATGGCTGTAGATGTTCACAACTATTGTCTCATCTAAATTTTAAGAAGTCATTTTAAACATTTAAATACATAAATAAAGTTAAATAAAATAATTCTTAAGAATAAAAATACAAGAAATGTTTTGCTCATCAGTTTAAAAACACAAGTAATTATAGCCACTTCATGAAAATCTTCTGTGCTTGAGAAAAATGGTGTGTGTGTGTGGAATCTTGTCATTTTAGGGGGTAGAAAGTTTGTGCTTGGCATAGGAGACACGTCTACTGTGTGTATACATAATGTGGAATGTGCAAATATTAACATCTCCACAGCTCTAAACAACTAGTATAAAAGTGGAAAAAATGAAACCCTCTTCAGTCTTTTGTATCGCCTACATTACCAACCCGTTTCACTGAGATTTTGACTGAATTTGCCGATTTGCTCTTCTGGAGATAGTTTTAGCTGCTGATCAAGAGACTATCCTTTTTCAGATTCTTTCTGTAGATGTTTCTCTTTGTAAGCCTCTGTTGGGGCATCTCATCGGATTCCACATCATGCCTGTGTGGTAGACATGTCCAGTATAATTACGGGACCTGAAGTGAGCTGATAAAGGTGTGTGGCTACTCTAAGGCAGAGGATTAGACCTTCCATCCCTTGCTATCCATACACTATTTCTGTTCCACAAATAATTATATACTGTGTCTTTATAAGGGTCAAGGCAGCATACTTCAGCACTCACAATTTCAAACCTGGGAACTTAAACTAATTTGGTTTAGAACATTGTGTTCCCTTTCCCTATTTTGCCATTCTCTTTGGAGTTATGGTCCTGTACAATCACCCAGGAAAGTGACACATAGAATTGGAGATGAGATGTTTGTCAGACCCATCATATTAGGTTACTGGAAAAGTCACGACTTGTATTTCTACACAAAAATGTGTCATAACTTTTCCAACAACCCAATAGCATCTTATGAAAAGTAAATAGAGGTAGTTTTTTTTTTCTTTTCTTTTTTTTTTTTGGAGAGGTTTTTGCTATAGGGCACATGCGTTCACCAGACAGACAGAGACAGAGAGACAGAAAGTGAGAAATCACCCCCCCAGTGGGGATGGC